TCAGGCCCAAGTTTTTCAACCCGTGCCTTCTCTTCAGCTTCTTGTCACTTTCCATCTGCCTGGGCACGGGGCAGCCGGAAATAAATCAAAAATTGAGGGCGTCAACAAGATTGCGTCATTTCCCAAAAAGTAAATTGGTTATACAAACAACCGGAACTTTACCTCTTCTACTGGATCTTCCGTTGATTCCTGCGGATCATTTTTTTTCACGGACAAAAATCCAAACAATTGATTACATTGATTGGTTGAGCAATTTTTTCGTCAACGCATTCCAAAACAGTGTTATCAGTGATTGGGAAAACAAAACCAACAAAACCTAAACAAGTCAAACCATCCCAAACTTTCGGCTACACCTCGGTGTTCTTATCCGGCATCGCCGGCGCATCGTCCACCTGGAGAGAGCATCTGAGTGCATCTGCAACGGGATCCGAGGAAATGAATGATTATGATGTTTTCACTAAAACATGCATGAACCTTGGGCCCAGGTATTTACCCCGGAGAACCAAAACACGGAGCAAGCTCGGAGACCCGCAAACCATGCAAAACAGGCTACATCGGTGGACTTCAAGGGGACCCCCCTTTGTGGATGCAAAAATGGTTCAAAAACAACAATTTTAAATAAGGGTCTTAATGAAGAACAACTGGCCTGAAATTTTGCAATTTTAGTGCTTATGGTTGGCCCGGTTAAACCTGCCACCTCCCCCAGGATCCGCAGGTCAACCAGCATCTCATACAAAATCTGGGACCTTGGGACCAGGTATTTAACCCCAGAGGATCTAGAAGGGATTGACCCAAAGAACATGTGGATCTGTTTGGCTCTCTTCAGGCATTGTTCTCAGGCCCAAGTTTTTCAACCCTTGCCTTCTCTTCAGCTTCTTGTCACTTTCCATCTGCCTGGGCACGGGGCAGCCGGAAATAAATCAAAAATTGAGGGCGTCAACAAGATTGCGTCATTTCCCAAAAAGTAAATTGGTTATACAAACAACCGGAACTTACCTCTTTATCTACTGGATCTTCCGTTGATTCCTGCGGATCATTTTTTTTCACGGACAAAAATCCAAACAATTGATTACATTGATTGGTTGAGCCATTTTTTCGTCAACGCATTCCAAAACAGTGTTATCAGTGATTGGGAAAACAAAACCAACAAAACCTAAACAAGTCAAACCATCCCAGACTTTCGGCTACACCTCGGTGTTCTTATCCGGCATCGCCGGCGCATCGTCCACCTGGAGAGAGCATCTGAGTGCATCTGCAACGGGATCCGAGGAAATGAATGATTATGATGTTTTCACTAAAACATGCATGAACCTTGGGCCCAGGTATTTACCCCGGAGAACCAAAACACGGAGCAAGCTCGGAGACCCGCAAACCATGCAAAACAGGCTACATCGGTGGACTTCAAGGGGACCCCCCTTTGTGGATGCAAAAATGGTTCAAAAACAACAATTTTTAAATAAGGGTCTTAATGAAGAACAACTGGCCTGAAAGTTTTGCAATTTTAGTGCTTATGGTTGGCCCGGTTAAACCTGCCACCTCCCCCAGGATCCGCAGGTCAACAAGCATATCATACAAATCTGGGACCTTGGGACCAGGTATTTAACCCCAGAGGATCTAGAAGGGATTCACCCAAAGAACATGTGGATCTGTTTGGCTCTCTTCAGGCATTGTTCTCAGGCCCAAGTTTTTCAACCCTTGCCTTCTCTTCAGCTTCTTGTCACTTTCCATCTGCCTGGGCACGGGGCAGCCGGAAATAAATCAAAAATTGAGGGCGTCAACAAGATTGCGTCATTTCCCAAAAAGTAAATTGGTTATACATACAAACCGGAACTCTACCTCTTTATCTACTGGATCTTCCGTTGATTCCTGCGGATCATTTTTTTTCACGGACAAAAATCCAAACAATTGATTACATTGATTGGTTGAGCATTTTTTTCGTCAACGCATTCCAAAACAGTGTTATCAGTGATTGGGAAAACAAAACCAACAAAACCTAAACAAGTCAAACCATCCCAAACTTTCGGCTACACCTCGGTGTTCTTATCCGGCATCGCCGGCGCATCGTCCACCTGGAGAGAGCATCTGAGTGCATCTGCAACGGGATCCGAGGAAATGGATGATTATGATGTTTTCACTAAAACATGCATGAACCTTGGGCCCAGGTATTTACCCCGGAGAACCAAAGCACGGAGCAAGCTCGGAGACCCGCAAACCATGCAAAACAGGCTACATCGGTGGACTTCAAGGGGACCCCCCTTTGTGGATGCAAAAATGGTTCAAAAACAACAATTTTAAATAAGGGTCTTAATGAAGAACAACTGGCCTGAAATTTTGCAATTTTAGTGCTTATGGTTGGCCCGGTTAAACCTGCCACCTCCCCCAGGATCCGCAGGTCAACAAGCATCTCATACAAATCTGGGACCTTGGGACCAGGTATTTAACCCCAGAGGATCTAGAAGGGATTCACCCAAAGAACATGTGGATCTGTTTGGCTCCCTTCAGGCATTGTTCTCAGGCCCAAGTTTTTCAACCCGTGCCTTCTCTTCAGCTTCTTGTCACTTTCCATCTGCCTGGGCACGGGGCAGCCGGAAATAAATCAAAAATTGAGGGCGTCAACAAGATTGCGTCATTTCCCAAAAAGTAAATTGGTTATACAAACAACCGGAACTTTACCTCTTTATCTACTGGATCTTCCGTTGATTCCTGCGGATCATTTTTTTTCACGGACAAAAATCCAAACAATTGATACATTGATTGGTTGAGCAATTTTTTCGTCAACGCATTCCAAAACAGTGTTATCAGTGATTGGGAAAACAAAACCAACAAAACCTAAACAAGTCAAACCATCCCAAACTTTCGGCTACACCTCGGTGTTCTATCCGGCATCGCCGGCGCATCGTCCACCTGGAGAGAGCATCTGAGTGCATCTGCAACGGGATCCGAGGAAATGGATGATTATGATGTTTTCACTAAAACATGCATGAACCTTGGGCCCAGGTATTTACCCCGGAGAACCAAAGCACGGAGCAAGCTCGGAGACCCGCAAACCATGCAAAACAGGCTACATCGGTGGACTTCAAGGGGACCCCCCTTTGTGGATGCAAAAATGGTTCAAAAACAACAATTTTAAATAAGGGTCTTAATGAAGAACAACTGGCCTGAATTTTTGCAATTTTAGTGCTTATGGTTGGCCCGGTTAAACCTGCCACCTCCCCCAGGATCCGCAGGTCAACCAGCATCTCATACAAATCTGGGACCTTGGGACCAGGTATTTAACCCCAGAGGATCTAGAAGGGATTCGCCCAAAGAACATGTGGATCTGTTTGGTTCTCTTCGGGCACTGTTCTCAGACCCAAGTTTTTCAACCCTTGCCTTCTCTTCAACTGCTTGTCCCTTTCCATCTGCCTGGGCACGGGGCAAAGAGAGGGCGCCAACAAGATCGCGTCATTTCCGCAAAATTAGATTGATCATACAACTAATCGAAAGTTGGCTTCTTGAATTTAGTTTATTTTTGAATCTTCCATTGGCTTTCACAGGCAATCGGTTTTACATATTTTCATTATAATGGAGTCACTTCTTCGTCAACGCATTCGGAAACTTTCAACTACACCTCGGTCTTCTGATCCACCTGTGTCGCTGCCGCATCGTCCACCCACAGTTTTTTGTCAAGAGCTTGGATCGACCGTTCATGGAGTGTGGTCAAGTTATTAAGCAACAGTTGGGCTTGTGAATCTTGGGCTGAAGGTTTTAAGCATCATATGCGAAAGTAAGCTGTTTTATGTTGAAATGTTGGGATCAAGGTTTTCACCTCTAGGTTAGCGAAGAACCTCAAAATTGCTAAAATGTTAGGCCAAGGTTTTCAACCCTGCCTTAAAAACCTTGGACCCTAGGAATCCATCCGCCTAGAGGTGGCTGAATACCTTGGCACTACCCCCCTGTGCACACCCAACCCCTATATTTTTGTCCGCCACTCATATATATATATATATGTAGTGAAATACATTACATGTATGTATGTAACATATGTATAAGTTGTCATCCTGGAGTAGGTAGATACACATGGCCTCAATTCTGAATACAGCTCTGGCATATCCCCATATTCTCCCAGCTCTGTGAAATCTTGGGTCCCCAGTTTTAAGTGCATAATTGCATTATTGGATGATTCAATATGTTCTTATATAATCATATTCAATCCAACCTTTCCACATATTCTTCGCATATTATCTCCATATTATTTCCATATTCTCCCCACCCCATATGCTCCATGTATGGAATATTTACCAACATTTGCCCAACATAGATCACCCAGATGTAGGTAAAATATACCATACACGGAGCATATGGGCATAGCATCCATGATCTCATCATACCCATCTTCCCCATGGCTTTCGGCTTGTGGAGCCGTGCCCGGAACTAGGTCGTGCTGAGCCCATCCGATTGGTCTTGGCCCTCGGAGAGTCACCGGGACCTGAGAAATGGAAGCATTGGGGATGCCATGGGGTTTTTGATGGGAGTTACCCGACCTGGTAAACATACAAAAAACTATTGAAAATGGCCATTTATAGTGAGTTTTCCCATTAAAAATGGTGATTTTCCATAGTTATGTTAGTTTAACAGAGGGTAAGCATCAAAAATGGTCATATTTAACCATTAAACATCGACAATTATGGCGATTTAGAGGGGGTTTGACTATGATTTCACCAGCAAACAACGAAGACATTGAACGAACAAACAACGACACCGGCAGGTAAACCTTAAGATTCCCTTGATGTGATAGATCAGTGGGAAGGCGATCCTTGTTTTGCATTGGGTGGTCATTCGAATGTCATGAATGGCGGTTATAAGACTTAGAATCTGACCTTGAAAATCCTCAAAAACAGAATAATTACCAAACTTACACTTCAAAAATGTGTTTAGACGTATACATACGTATAGAGTAGCAATTAGAAGGGCGTGTTTCACAGTCCCAATATCCCAGTATACCAGAAGGGCCCGCATCCATGGTGAATTCTTGTAGTGCATTGAGAACCAAGATGCAAGGAACCTAAGATTGAAATCCAAAGTTTGAGGTTCACGGGGCACCCACCAACGGGTTCATGGTATGATTATACATATACAGAAATACATATATATATATATACACTGTATTATATATTTGAACATATATAATAGCATCAGACTGAATTTGACCATTAACCAAGTCCGCTGATACTCGAATTGAGCTGGTGGTGTCTAGTTTTTGAGTGACTTGAAGTACTGAACCGATCCAAACATGTTTCAGGTCTTGTTTCGTTGCACGTCATAAAATCTTCAAACTTCAACCGTCCAGTCCATTGGTTATGTTTAGTAGTCGACTGTCATGGTTCGTTTTGACATTTAATCAATCTTCCAATTTTGAGTAGATCAAATTCAACCTATTTCTAAGTAGAACCCAGATGAACCCTATTTGAATGGTTTTCACCCCGAAACATAGAGGGTTAACATCCAAAACGGGGTCAGTGGGTGTAATGTAGATACATTATGATACTATGTGTTCACCTTGCATATTTGCAACAGCCCAAGTCAAGGCTAAACCACTCAGTCTCTCCCTCGTTCCTGGGTTGTGCACACTTGCGTGATGCCATCAATCCTCCAGTTCAACTTTTAGAAAGGGAATTTGGACATCATTACATTGTACACTATCATACACTTGCTCGATCGTAGCCAAATATTTAGAATGAGGAATCATATCCCAGCAAATAAAAGTTCTACCACGCTGAGCAACATGAGATGAAATGAGGGAACCCAAGCATCATTTGATTGAATTGTTGGTCTTGTTGAAACATTGTGTTCCTGCAATTTGTCCTAAGAATGTTCTAAGTATGAAGTGATTGCTCAAACTTGGGGTCTTCCAAATCTTGTCATATCCTGTCAACAAATTCATGAACGGAAAAAAACAAAAAAGAGGCCTTTCTCCTTTTGCATTTGCTAATCCAGGACCCTGGTTTTTCTTTGCCCCGTTAGGTATAACTTTCAAGACATCCGTTTGCGAGGTGCGGTACGGCAGGTTTCTGCCGTGGCCTGACATAAACAGTTTGACTTGGGGGTCCCCTATTTTAGGAACCAGGCACATAATGTAGCCCACACATATGATACGTATAGTATAATATATATATATATAATTATATAAATACAGTATACACATATGATATGTACTGTACATATATATATATAGATGTTTAATATGTATATATATATATATTACATCAAGGACAACTACGTATGGAGTTATTTTTTTGAATTATGATCGGATAAATATTTTACTGTACCCGGAGAGGCAGTCAAGAACCATTGTGTTTTGCAGCGGTGTTGGTTGCCCCAGCTGTGGCCATTTTCCGGTCACGCTTTCTGTTTTGAGACATCCCATGGCCATTGTGAATCCCAAAACGGAAGCCATAGGTTTTACACTGGCTAGGTTTGGAGATAAAATTAATATTGGGGACATTGATTATCCCATTGACTATATCCAACATATTCAAAATTGTAGGTTTTAAGTCAATATGGCCAGTGTTTCCTTTAAAGCCATATGTCAAAGTTAATATTTTGGAGATAGTCATTGGATTGGTTTAAGGGAAAAAATACAGGAAAGCCGCCATATTTCATGGGAAAATCGATGGATTCCGGTAGATTTTCCATGATTTTCCCTTAAACCAATCCATTGCGATAGCGGCGCTGACAGTGACCACCAGAGCTGTCATTTCTTGAACCTTCAATGCCCACTAGTGGAGGCTACGTCGACTCTCCAAACGTGATTTGTTCCGCATTCAATCGTTAGCTGATCAGACAGGAGCCCTTGAAAAAGACCTTGGTCACCCTTGGTCACATACCAGTGTTCCAGTGGCCTGGAAGCTTTAAAAAATGGTAGCCATATTATGTAGTTGGCCACCCCCATGTCATTACATTCTGCAACCCTTTTCCAACATTTTTTTCATGTATCATATGTGTTTTGCTTACATCCCAAGATCCATGTATTTTTTTGTGGCTTTACTGTTCTGAACCTCACAATAAATACTGTCCAGCCAAATGAGAAGTAAATCACCATCAGGAAAATCGGACGAAATCATACTGTACATAGTTATGGCTTTTATTAGGACCACTTTACCTACTTGCCAGCAACCACTGTTTTTTTCCATGTGGAGGTGAGGAATGGGGCGAGCAGGAGAAAGAGGTGACGTTTTGCGAATATTTCGGGGGCTTGGAGGGTGAAGCAACATGGTGAAGTTGTAAAAACCAAGAAGCATATACGTTGGTGGTTTCAGATATTTTTTAAAGCCATACTTGAGATGATGATCCCCATCGAAAAAAATATGTTATCGGTTGAAACCACCATCCCATCCAGCCTGGTTGGTCCATGTGTTGGTGCACGTTGGTCATCTTACCAAACACTGGCCCCTGGCAAAAGGCGTACTCTATGAAGACTGCACATAAAAACCGATTGTTGGATCTTGGTGGACTGGACTTTCCCACTCCTGGTGAAATCCGCACCCTGGTAATCCAAGACAAGGGAAACTCCCGGAACTGCCCTGGCCCAGACATGTCCGTATCGTCAAGTTCCCGTGGAATCCCAGTGGGTGGTCGTTGGGGTGCTGGATGATGACTGGGGGTACCCATGACTTGACGGAAACCTCCATATCTAGATGTGCATATCTGTGTGTCACACATAATATATACATAATTTACATCTCATATGTATAATTATATATATATATACGTATATATATATATATACACATGTGTGTATCATATAGATTGACACAGTGAAGTATGACATTGTTGAGAGTGTTCGCCTACTTTAGTCTTTTAGTCTTTTCCTTGATCTGGTTGAGAGTGTTTGGCTCTGAAGGCTGGCCGGCGTTTCAACTACCTCATCCATTGTGGTGAGGAGCAGGTTCATGTCCACATCACTTCACTTATGACATGGTTGAACTGAACGTGGTGCATCATCCAACATGTTGTTTTTGCATACACAGAGACGATGCAAAACCACGAAGCTGTCAGATTTTTGGGGTGATTTATCATGTTCCCCTTGCCAGATTTCTGTCTCAGAGAGTTACCCAGCATCATTTTTTTGCCATGCAATTTGGTCAAAGTACCATCAATCTCTTGTTGTAAGATGCTAAGGGCTCCAGGTATACACCTCCAAAAAAGGCTCCAAAATGTTTCCATCCAAATATATGGTCCATTGACCTACCATTTTGGCTGATTCGTGGCTTTCTGCACTTGCGGGGTTCGCGAGGTTCCAGTTACAACTGGATATGCTTGAACATAGTCTATAGGGGCCCCGTATCCCAACTTGTGGGGTTAATCTCTGAATATGCGTTAATACCCAAACTGGAGATCGTTTTAGTCTAGTTCTCCCATCTTATCTCATCTTATCCTCTAACCCCAAGAATTTCCCATGACAGTAACCCCGGTCGTGCACCCAAAGCCTCAGGTGCTCTACATCGATGGCGCTCCCATGGCCCAGACCAAAGCTGTTCTGAGGCGGGACTCGGTTGGAACAGCTGGCAGAACTCGGCAGACATGGAGATTTCATGTGGGATATCATGGGAAGACTCTCTAGCATCTGGTAAATTAACAGTTGGACCCTGAAAATCACCTAATTTTAGTGGACACTTTCCAACCCCTACCTATGTAGCAGGGTCTCTGTGAATATACTGGAGGGAATTTTTGCTGTGGACAATTCCCAATGATAATTTCGTGGGACTTAATGGGACTGTGCGAGTCAATCTGCACGTTGCAGCTGACAACCGCAACAAAAAAGGGCACGGCGGATACAGTAGGTGCCATGGAACATGTACATGCGGAAATTCTGGACAAAGCATGCATTCGGAGGGAACATGTAATTCAATGGGACTTAAATGGATTTGGTTTATATACTGTAATGGGCCCAATGGGATTTATTGGGACATGTGATGTTATACCCTCTAGCAATTTTATATATGGATAATTAGTGTCTTGTCATGGGATGTAGTAACATATGGTCGATTATATATAATCATATATAAACATAATTATGCATGTTAGTTGGGATTTAAACAACTTATGGGGATCTAATGGGAATGCAGTCTAATCATTTAACAGTTTGCTATGGACAAATACCAGTCCGATGATTTAACATTCTAAAAAACATTGTGCTTTTGCACAGAAAACTGTGCATTTTTTACAAGGCTGGGTATTTTTCACAAGGACTATGTTGTAAAAGGATGTAAAAGGGTTACTACGTATGCAATGGGGGCTGAAGATCTGGGATTGTACCCAATAATCCCAGATGTCCGGATGAGGATTGAAGTAAGAAGAGTAGGACCATCTTACCAGCAGTCCTAAAAAAGTACAAATGCACTCGGTTGATTTTTGGGATTATCCAGTATCTAACAATTCATCGAAATCCAAAACCAGATGTTGTGTGATGCTGGAAAGAAAAATCACCACACCCACTATTATCCTGTTTTGGGGTAGACCTACTTGACACAGACCCATTGCAGTTTGCAGTTTGCATGTCGGCGGCCGTGCAGGTGTGAAAAAGACCGAAAACCTGATTTTTCTTGATGCACGATTCCATTAGAGGATTGATCAGATAGTTCTGTATGTATCGTATTCACATCGAAATATACCAGTGATTTGTGTTCCTATTTTCATCTTGGAACCCAAGTGTGTTTGGCAAAGCTGGAAGTTTTCTGACCGCAGGTATTTGGGCAGAGTGACCCAATTCCAAGGTCGGTTGCTGCGCCAAAGAGGCATAGGTAACTTCTTCTTTGAAGGATACCTCAAACTTGCCATTTGTTCATGGGGAAAGGGATGAAAACCCATGAACATTTGGGGAAACTATTTTCAAGCAAACCCATGCTACACATGCTGTTTATTTTTCCATGTTTGGTGTTTTGTTTGAGGTTGTATTGCGTCGTCATGAAGGTTCTTCTACATCTGATGTTGAGATTGGCCCTCTGTGATGAGTAGCCTTATTGCTGATCGGATTTGACATGATCTGACGTATTTCACAACTGACAATAGTAACCAAGGATTCATAAGACCCAGTTGGCCGCTAGGTTGTGTGCAGACATGAATGTATATACACTATAGTTATATGTCCATATACAGGTCTGTTTCAAAGAATTGGGTACCCTTGAATGCAATGATTTATCGAAACTTATCCCTCTCAACATTGCCGTCAATTGAGGCTTAATCCCCGACAGACAAATGTATGTGTGTCTATATATACAAATATCCATCCAGCCCTTTGTTTTCAGAGGGCTGGTCGAACCGGGTTCTCGTTGTGAGAGAAATCACCAGCAACGATTAAAGGATGATCCTCCAGCAATGAAACTACTAACCAGCAACAAAGGAGTTAAGCCACCCAAAGCAGGGATTCACCAGGTTTTAACACATTTCAACCATCACAAATAGGGCTTCACCAGGTTTTAACATATTTTGACCACCAAAAATAGGGATTCACCATTGTCTCACCATGAAAAGTAATTATATAACATGGCTGAATGTCGACTGACACTGAGCAAATTCATGGTGACCGAGTGGATGGACCGTTGAGTACAAACTCACCTTTCGCGAAATAAATTGGGATTTATCTTATCATATGAACAGAGTATGCGAAACGACTACTTGATGGATGATGTTAAATATATTGCTGTTGTTATCTGTATATATATATATACATCGATTTCTCTTTGATGATTATTATGATTCAGGATGACCCATTCTACTTTTTTTTCCAGCGCTTGAACTGCCAGGCAAGTTCTTGTATCCATCCGATCCATACGTTGCAGCCAAGGCACTGGGTTTTTGTGGGGAGTTGCCCATGGCCGGTTACATCGTGGTTTAGGCTGCTTTAGATGGAGTTTTTTTTTAAGAATATATTTGCAGGGATTTAACGACCAAAATAGGAACTTAAGCATCAAACCAGGGATCTAACCATCAAACATAGGGATATTATAACCGTAAAATAACTGAGATATGATTCATGATCTATTTTTTTCTTGCACACAGTTATTATAACTTACCAGAGGGTAACACTTTTGTAGGAGTGACATGGGGACTGAATTATCATTGCTACTAGGCCATCTTTTTTTTGACACCTGAGCATCATATGGCATCATCTATGAGTCAGGAATGAAGAATGATGTGAGACTAACGGGGCCAAAGAAAGCGACGGGAAGTGCAGGGGTTTGCCCCATGAAATCCACTGATCGACCGGTCATGATTTGTCCATTGAACCCCAACGTGGAGGGAGTTATCCATCAAACATATATATAGGGATATAGCATGATATAGCATGATATAGCCATCAAACATCAAAACATATTCTACTTCGTTGACCCTGGCAACATGGTATTTTTTTTACATCACGGATATCAGATAGCCTCTTTTTGGAGATCAAAGCCTCTAAAACTGGGTGTTTTTCCATCCTTTTTATCGGATGTTCGCTAATGTCAAGCTGCAGGTGGATGAGCAAATGGATTCCTTTGACGATTTGTGGATTCTCTTGGCTCCAACCTACAGGAGCCATGCGGGCCATGATGAGCCATGCGAACGATGGATATTTTATAATCATCAACTTAAGCAGTTGGCTATGGGTCAAGAATATATGGTACATACATCAGCTAATTGTTTGTAATTACATACTATATATATATAGATAAGTATATGTGAATATGTGAATATGTTATAGATTGTGCGTAGTCGAGGCGGGTTTCTTTTCTCGTTATAAAAAAGTGCTTCCTAGACGCCGGAAATCTAGATTAATAGACATCGGACAATTACATGGTGGTGCCTCCAAACGATAGCTAAGTTCATTGAAATCACTATGGATGACTATGCAAACATATGATAATGGTTAATCTATGTATGAATGGATTCAACATTTCACGAATGAAGGGGCACAGAAAGCAACAGTAACCAGGACCGGGTGTCCTCGTGGCTGGTCATTTACATCATTTACCAGTGAATGAATGGTTTTTATCCCACCATTTTCAGACACACCCATGGAATACTCCTAGTTTGAGGACTCACGTTAAATGTGGCAACCGAAAATCCAGAATTTCGTGAAAAATGATTTTCCCAGGTATCAACTTACCTCTATATTACAGGAGGATCAACCACAAGCACCCCCAAAACGGTGGTTTGTTGAATCCCCGAAGGAGAACCGCGACGCGTCGCGGATCACATTGCGAACAGAGCCAGTTTTGTCGCAATATTCTCAACCCTTATCAGCATGTTCCATAGGTTTCCATGTTCCAGAGTCCACAGCCTAAGTATTCTAATAGGTACATAATACTACTATCTCTCAATATGTTGCATTCTACTTGGTAAACATGGGGTTAATTTTACTGTATATATACGAGGTATGGAATGGTTTCTGGACCATCTTTGACTCCCGCAGGATTCAAAACCAGGTGCAGAAGGACCAGGGGAATCCCAGGGATCAAATTGCTGGTGACACACTGGGC